ATACTTGAAATTTTATGAGGGTGGATCTTAGGCATTCTCACCACAAAGGTGATGGATATGTTAACTAGCTTGATTGTAGTGTATATTTCACAATGCATACATATATCAAACCACTGAATTACACATCTTAAATATATACAATTTTTGTCAACTGTAACTCAATAAAGTTAAGAGAAAAAAGAATAAATTAAGACAAAAAGCCTAATGGGGTAGCAGTGAGACTAGAATTAAAGAATATTAATAATAGCTAACAACTATTGAGGGTTTATCGTATGCCAGATACTACTCTAAGTGTTCTACACTACTAATACTTCCAGATAAGGAAACTGAGGCAAAGAAAAGTGAAGTAACTTTCAGGTACTGAGTGGTAGACTGGGATGTCAAGTCCAGAGAGTGGAGTTTTACAATTATGCTCTTGGTTATTATGTCTACATTCTCAATAAAACAGTTGTTTGAAAGAAGAAATAATAGAACTTTAGAAACAAACAACTGAGGGCATAGGAGAATGTTAGGAATCAATGATAAATTTTTTTCAATTATTTTATTGAGATCACAGTGGTATATAACACTGTGTAATTTCAGGTGTACATTATTATTTATCAGTTTCTGTACAGACTACATTGTGCTCACCACCGATAGTCTAATTTCTATATGTCACCATACATATGTGCCCCTTTACCCATTTTGCACCCCCCAGCCCCCTTCTCCACTAGCAACCGCTAATCTGTTCTCTTTATCCACGTTTGTTTATCTTCCACATGAGTGAAATCATGCAGTGTTTGTCTTTCTCTGTCTGGCTTATTTTGCTTAACTTCATACCCTCAAGGTCCATCTATGTTGTTGCAAATGGGACACTTTTGTCTTTTTTATTGCTGACTAGTATTCCATTGTATATATATAGACCACATCTTCTTTATTCATTCATCCATAGAAGGGCACTTGGGTCGCTTCCATGTCTTGGCCATTGTGAAAAATGCTGTAGCGAACATAGGGGTGTATAAATCTCTTTGAATTTTTTATTTCAAGTTTTTTGGATAAATATCCACTAGTGAGAAACCTGGATCATATGGTATTTCTATTTTTAATTTTTTGAGAAATCTCTATACTGTTTTCCATAGTGCCTGTACCAGTTTGCATTCCCACCAGCAGGGCATTAGGGTTCCCTTTTCTCTACATCCTCTCCAACATTTGTTATTTTTTTTTGTCATGGTAATTATAGCCATTCTGACAGATGTAAGGTGATATCTCATTCTAATTTTGATTTAAATTTCCGTAAGAATTAGTGATATTGAACACCTTTTCATGTGCCTGTTGGCCATCTGTATATTGTCTTCGGAAAAATGTCTGTTCATATCATTAGACTATTTTTCGATTGGGTTGTTTGTTTTATTGTTGTTGAGTTGTATAAGTTCTTTGTATGTTTTGGAAATTAACTCCTTGTCAGATATACGATTTGCTAATATTTTCTCCCAGTTGGTACACTGTCTTTTCATTTTGTTCATGGTTTCCTTTCCCTTGCAGAAGCTTTTTGCCCTGATGCAGTTCCATTTGTTAATTTTTTCTTTTATTTCCCATGCCTGAATAGACATAGTATTAAAAAAGATGTTGCTAAGATCGATGCCAAAGAGTGTACTGTCTATATTTTCTTCTAGGAGTTTTATGGTTTCAGGTGTTACATTTGCAATTAATTCAATTTTAGTTAATTTTTGTGTATGGTGCAAGATAAATGTCTACTTTCCTTCTTTTGCACATGGCTGTCCAGTTTTCCCAATACCATGTACTAAAGAGACTTTCCTTTCTCCATTGTATGTTCTTGGCTCCTTTGTTGAAGATTAGCTGTCCTTAGATATGTGCTTTTATTTTGGGGCTTTCCATTCTGTTCCATTAATCTGTGTATCTGTTTTTGTGCCAGTACCATGCTGTTTTGATTACTACAGCTTTGTAATACATTTTGAAGTCAGGGATTGTGATGGCTCCAGTTTTGTTCTTTTTTCTCAAGATTGCTTTGGCTATCAGGGTCTTTTGTTGTTCCATATAAATTTTAGGATTCTTTGTTGTATTTCCGTGAAGAATATCATTGGGATTCTGTTTGGAATTGCATTGAATCTGTAGATTGCTTTAGGTAATATGGACATTTTAACTTTGTTTTTTCTTTCAATCCATGAGCATGGAATATCTTTCCCTTTCTTTACATCTTCTTCAACTGCTTTCAATAACATCTTATAGTTTTTTTATGTATAGGTCTTTCACTTCTTTGGTTAAATTTATTCCTAGATATTTTATTCTTTTTGTTGTGACTTGGTACCCTGCAACTCTGCTGTGGTTGTTAGTTATTTCTCAGTTTTCTTATGGATTCTTTAGGGTTTTCTATATATAGAATCGTGTCATCTAAAAACAAAGTTTCATTTCTTCCTTTCCAATTTGATTCATTTTATTTCTTTTTCTTGTCTAATTGCTGTAGTCAAAATGTCCTGTACTATGTTGAATAGGAGTCACAAGAGTGGGCATCCTTGTCTTTTTCCTGTTCGCAGAGAGATGGCTTTTACTTTTTCACCGTAAAGTATGATGTTAGCTGTGGGTTTGCCATACATGGTCTTTATTATGTTGAGGTACTTCTCTTCTATACCCATTTTATTCAGAGTTTTCATCATAAATGGATTTTGGATCTTGTCAAATGCTTTCCCTGCATCTATGGAGATAATCATGTGATTTTTATTCCTCATTTTGCTAATGTGGTGTATCACATTGATTGATTTGCAGATGTTGAGCCATCCCTGCATCCCTGGTATAAATCCCACTTGAAGAATCAACAATAAATTGTGAGCCTGGGGAAATAGGTGATATTAAAAACTGGGGCTTGACAATATGTTTAATGGAAATTGTTGTATATGTATTTTCTGCTTTGTATGATTGTAAGCTCAGAGGAGATGAACTGTTGCACTTAATGCTAGAGGTAGTATCCAGATAAGCAAGAGCCTCATGGTTCCCTGCTGAGAGAATATCTACCAGAGACAGGGATATCACTCTCTGTGACTCCATGCAATGAACTCTAATCTTTGGAGGGCAATGAAGCATGCATTTCCACAGCTGCCTCAGTTGCAAACAACCTATGGAATACCCATCATAGAAAAAAGTAAACCTAGGTTGCATACCAAGGTTTGATTTCAAAAGGCCTTTCTCACTTGCTAGTTGTGTGATCATTGGCAAACTCTCTAACTCTGTAAATGGCACCTCTATCTACCCCATCACCGTAAACAGAAATCTGAGAGTCATCAGTGTCCCCTCAATCATCAGTACAGTTCCTTCTCTTCGTGTCCACTCCCAACACCCTAGTCAGGCTGTCATCATTTTTTTACCTGGATGACTATAGTACCCTCTTAAGTCGTCTTCTCTCTTCCACTCTTGCACCTCAATGATTCCACCAACAACCATCATACTCAATGTGTCCTAGTTATGCTGGACTTTTGTGAGTTATTAGAATAAGGCAAGCTTTTCCCCATCTGACAGCTTTCGTACTCTGACTACCCAAGAACACTCTTTCCTCAAGCATTTTGCATAGCTCCTCCTTCTCATATTGATTACATTATTCAATGTATGAGCCTTTTTTAGATCCTGATTTGAATAAAATTTAAAAAAACATTTATTTGACAATTGAGGAAATTTTATATTAAGGAATTTTTTATGTGTTAGTAATATTGAGCTTATTTTTAAACGTTTTGTCTTTTAAAGATATATTCTGAAGTCTTTATGACTAAGATGATATGATGTCTGGAATTTGCCTCAAAATAATACAATGGGGAGTGGGAGAGTTGGAAGGGGTGTAGAAGAAACAAAATTGGCCATATACTAATATAATTGTTGAAGTTGGGTAAAGGGTACATGAAAGTCAAGTAAACTATTGTACTTTTGCATGTTGAAAGTTTAGGTTTAAATACTTAATAAAAAAATATTTATATAAAAATACATATTATACATACATACATATATATAGTCAGTGGAATCAGCCTCCATCCTACATGGAGGAGAAGCAAACAAAACATCAATAAATAAAAAGAGTGTCTTGGGAATGTTAGGACAATGCAGCATAGAAATCAGTCACTTGTTCATAGTCTCAGGGCACAGCAATTAGGACTCTGGGTCTTTATATACAAATCCTGACACAGTAAATGTAACACAGTAAATGTTTACAAGAAAGGAGAGCCCCTTCCTTGTCCAGTGTGTCCAAGCGTCAACTTTGAGCTGGAGATGATTGGGGAGGAGGAGTCTCTGAGGCAGAGGGTACAAACTGATGACTGACAAGCTACATCTGGCCCATAGGCATGTTTCCTTGAATCCATTAAAAACTTTTTAATTAGATGCCAATATTAAAAATCTAGGGCATTTCACATAAAAATCTTGATTTTCTGCTTTTCTTTAAAATTCGGACTGTTTGGTAATACTTAGTTGGAGTTGAATGACAGTTCTCCTTCAGATGGGGCAGGTGCCCCCAGTTTGGCACAATCCCCACCAGGTCTGCTTTACTTAGTTTTCCTAATGTGCATTGTTTTTTTCTAATGTGAACAAAAGTATAAGTTGGTGGATGGTACTGAGTTCCAAAAGCCTGCTTTAATTGCACTTAGTTTAAACTGCCTTTGTGCTTTTAATACTTGGTAAAACCTGTGGTAATCTGGTAGCAAGGGAGGGAGTGATGTCTTAGCTGTTTTAATCTTTGCGTAAGTGTTATGACTTCCCAATTAGAAAGATCCAGAGGTGCTCAATGGGGATTATGACTATTCAGAAGACATCAGGCTTAGTGTTTTCCTAAGCTGGCTTTATAAAAGCTACCTTAGGATAGGAACAAGACTTAGAGGTAAAAGCCACAAACAGAGCCTGTGCTCATGAGTATAAATGGATCGGTCTCTGTTTCAATACTTTCTTCTCTTCTTATCTCAGAGAGTTTATGTATGTGTGTGCTGTGCGTGTGTGTGTGTGTGTGTTGTGGGCAGTGGAGGTGGGCAGACCTGTATGGATTCTGCGGTGGGCTTTCAGGTGAGAACTTTTGGTGTACACTTTGCTGCATCCTGCAAAATCACATTGGTGAATCCGTCTTCTTTTGAAGTCAAGGGGTTCTTCTCCCTGCATTTGTGTCATTGTTGCTGGTCTGGGCAGAGAAAGAGGGATAAGGCCAAAGAATTATTTTAAAGTGGAGGTTAAATAAATGGATTTACATACAGTGAGACCACCGTATACACGCATTTAATTTATGCAAATTTAACACAAGGCCCCCAAGAGAATAACTGAAATAGTTCAAGCAGTTCCCTCAACTAGGCCATTTGACTCAAGTGCAGGTCTCAGGGGGTAGTAATGTTTGCTTGGGTGGTTTCTGTCCCCAAACAGTATGAGCATTTCACTCTAATAAGTCTCATTCTTGGGTTTAAATAAATGTATTTTTCATACAACATGGTTGCTAAAACACAAGCCAATTAATTCATTAGTTCCAACCTTAGAAGACAAGGCTGCTCTAAACTTATAGAGAGAAATAGTATGCAACTGTATTTTATATGAAATTTGCAGATTTTTCAAAGGTAAAATCGATGATCTACAATTAGAACATGATTCTGCCAGAACATGCATGTCCATGCACATGTGTGTACATAAACTCATTCCTTCACTGGGAAGGCAGTTTACCTATTTTTTTTTGTCTTCAAATTCTTACTATTGTGTCTAGGAATTTTTTCCACTTCTACCACATACACATACATATATACACAAAGACAGACCTGAAGTAAAGACAAAAGTACTCACTCTTGCTGTAGTCCTTGAATCACCTGCAAGGCTGAGGTTCCACTCTCAATTGCACTCTCCTCACTGTCACTTGGGATCTCCAGTGGAGACATGGATGTGGGGTCAATTTTCACTAAAAGCAGAGAAAAGGAGCAGTGTTGGCTACAAATATATGTGCCTCTGTAATCATTATCAGGATTCCCAGTTTGGCCCACAAGGAGAAGTAGAAGCAATATAGAGAAATAAAGGAAAAGCAAAGATGTAAGAAGTGTATTTGTATGGAAGGAAGAGAAGAACATTTAAAAGTTTTAGCATAGCAGGGAATAGAAATTCCTTTGGGGGAAGGGTAGTAAGGAATATTCTGATATCACTAGAATGAGCTTCTCTAGGATAGTGAGTTTGATAGGATAACAAGTTTTTCTAGGATAGGGTATCGGTATGATTCATCTCTCGGTCCCCAGCCCCCAGGACAGGGTATGTTGAAAAGTCAGGTTCAATGTGTGTTTGTTGAATTGAACTCTGAATAGTTCCCTGGCTGTCTTAAGATCAATGTCTAGACTCACCCCACAGGTGAGAATATCTCCTTTGGTTTTTGTGCTCCTAAATGAAAATGAGTTGATGAGATGAAACACGTATCTAGTGACCTAGCAGGTGCTTGATACATGTTAGCATCCCTCCCTTCTACCTATGTTGGGAGAAGCCCTTAAATATTTCTTACTATCTAACACTGATGCTTCTGATCCCTAACAAAACTCAATCAGGTGGTCAGCAGTCTCCTAGATCTAATGAAAGTTTCAGAATTTCTATACAGAAGAGACTTAAGAATGGCAATAATGTTTAGGGGGGAGAGTATTCGCTTAGCGTGGTTGCCTCCATACGTTGATTGTGTATCATTCACCATAATGCATCTCAAGATGCGTATGTGTGTGTCTCTGTGCATGTGTGTACATATGTATGATATAAATGTACTCGTAACCTAAATTTTTGTGTACATTATGAAAAATATAAAATATACAAAAAATACAAAAAGTAACATGTAAAGGGCAAGAAAATACAAATAGAGATTTTAATACTTTGTTTTTATGCTCCAATTGTTTTGTGTGCCCCACCTCCACCTCAAAGTACAAATATACCATTTTGGAGACCACTGGGCTAATGGGCTTAGCTTGAAACTACATTGAACACTTTAAAAATTTATTCTGCTTATTTAGAGTGGCTTTGGTGGACTGATGGATATTATGGGGGGAATTCAAAGCCCCAACAAACCATCCCTTTGTGCTACCACTGCCTTGATATCAGCAAATTCTTACACAGGGAATTTTATTCTCCCATTTCCTTTTTTATTTGGCTCTCTCTCCCTATATGAGGATTTATAACGATATTTTAATTAACCCCCTCAGGGAACCTCAAAAAGAAGATTGTTATGAACACTTATCATTACCAGAATTAATCACTAGTCAAAGAAGGCATTTTTATTCAAAGAACACTGCAGAGTCTCAGTAATTTGATGTTTAGTATGCTGTTTTTTTCTGTCTCTTACATTTAGTGATAGAATGATCACAAGGCATTGAATTTCAAATGTAGAAAACTCTTAGAAAGTCTTTTTGAAAGATTTTATTTTTATTTTTTACTTTTTCTTCTCTCCAAAGCCCCTCAGTACATAGTTGTATATTTTAGTTGTGGGTCCTTCTAGTTGTGGCATGTGGGACACTGCCTCAGCATGGCTTGATGAGTTGTGCTAGGTCTGTGCCCAGGATCCAAACCTGTGAAACCGTGGGCCGCCGAAGCAGAGCATGTGAACTTAAACCACTGGGCCATGGGGCCGGCCCCAAAAGTTTTTTTACTGAGCTGAAATATGGTTTCTAGTCATTTTCACACACATATCTCCCCTTTGCTCTTTTCAATTCAAGCTAAACATTTATCAGCTCTTCATTTGACATGGATTTCAATCCTCTCACCATTCTAATCTCTCTCCTCTGATTATACTCCAATTTCCAAAAGTCCTTCCTAAGGCACAATATCCAAGTGATTGCAATTCTACAGATGTGGTGAAGCTAAATATCTTAAACCACTTCAGAGGCCATATAATTTTCTTTGGTCACTCCAATTACAAACTAAAGTAGATATACCTCCAGAACTGGGTGGCTGGGGGATAGTGGTAGAAGGGAAACTTAATTTATACCTGTCTGAATCTTGAACTTATTTTAAAAATTAAATAAAAGAGAAGATTACAGCATATGAACTCTCTCCTGGGCAAATTTTCAAGTTTGTTAATCAAATTATTTGTTATAAGACAAGTACTATCTATCACTGTGTTAGGATCTCTGGAGGTGCACAAAGAGAAATAAGATAGAGTTTTTTCCTGGAGGAATTTACAATTCAGTTGGGAAGAATGCCCATACACTTGTGATATAAGCAAGTACCAAAGTAAAATGGAGGATGATAGATACCAAATGAGGGGGAACAAAGGAAAGATGGCAGTATTTCAAAGGAGACTATTTTACTTAAGGGAAGGGAAAAGGTACAATGTTAGGAGAGGCAGGAGCTAAGGCTGGCTAAGTATGTAGGCTAGAAATGTTCTCAACTTTTCTACCAAAGCATTCCTAGCGGCATAGAAGAACAAACACATTCTTCTGGAAAGTCCCAGGGTGGGTGCCTTATTAAGCTTAAAACTATTTTTGCAATTTGTGTTTTATCTTAAAAGGTTATTCAAATTTTACATTTTTCTCTTAATAAAATCATATTTTTAAAATATAAAATGTTTAAATTACTTACTATCAAATAATATAGAGGTTCTAGGAAGAGACATAGTATTTCACTCAAGGATATGCATACCCCAGTTTGAGAAGACTGGTATAAACAAAAGAGAGGCATTGTACATTCTTAATCATTGAAGAGACACGATAAAACCAGTGTTTATGAAAGATTACTCTGGAAGCTCTGTGCAAGAAAAATTGGAGGGGGTGAAAACAGAGAGGAGATAGGATGAATGAAAAAGAGAATAGATGGAGAAAGTTGAGGCCCAGAAAAGGGGCATACTGATACTCACCTGATCCAGCATTTTTCCCATCTCCTCCAATAAGTGGGACTGTAATGGCTGCAGGGCCCCCATCTGTAGGCAAAGTAGTATACACCATTGGCAGAGACTGCACCACCACTGGGATAGTCTTCAGGCCACCCATCTTATTTGGCAGATTGACTGAGGGGATGGTGTGAATCACATGTAAGATCTGCTGGCCACCAGTGCCCTGGGAGGAAGCCAGAATAGAGCCTGGAGTCAGAACGGTAGGGATGTTTGCTGAAGTGCCTGTGCCAGATGTTGAAGTGGACACTACAAGGGCCTGGGGAGCAGGCTGTGGCCTAGGAGAATGTATTGGAGCTTGCAGCATGCTGGCAGGCTGGAGAGGAGCCTTGGGCTTGTGAAAGGAGAGGTCGACTGGTTCCACCTGGGGCAGGTTGAAATCATTAGCCAGAAGTTCTTCTGGGGGCTCAATCTTGATGTCATTAAACAGTGCTGGGTTCTCCATGGGGTTAGCATCCAGGAGTGGTAGGGATGTCATATTACCTCTGTCTGCTGTCTTAAAGGGATCTCTGATCTGAACAGGGCCAGTAACCTAAAATAAATAAATAAATGAGAGATACAAAATAGTCAGTGTTAGTAACCTGGAGAAGAGACATGTGAGCAATGAAAGAAATAAATCTCTGCTCTCTTCTCATGGAAAGAATACATAGGGAGTTGAGAGAAATGAGGCAGGACTACACTAAAGAGGAAAAAGGAAGGGAAATTTTACTGAACACCAGTACTAGGCACTGTATCAGGTAATTGATACACATTATTTCATTTAATTTTTACAATAATACTGCAAGGTTATTTAAAGTCAACACTTTATGAGTGTCCACTATAAGTACTGTACTAAGTTCAGCGAGGGCACACATGGATAAGGTATAGCCATGAAGTGCATATTAACATACTAACTATAAGGACAGAATAATGTGACTAGCTGGTAAATCATACCATAGTAAGTGATGCAGACACATAACAAAGGTGTTTTAGAAAAAGAAAAGGAAACAATTTGCTCTGTCTAGACAGGATCAGGGGAGGCTTTAAGGAGGAAGTGATATTTTAGATGGGTCTTAGAGAATTAATAGGAGCTCTCTAGGCAGAGAAGGGGTAAGAAAGATATTCCTGTCTGCAGAGCTAGAACAACAGACAATATGCTTAGGGAATAATGTTGCAGTACAATAAGTTGCATTTGCAAAATTAAAGTGTGCCACTTTTAAATTTAAAAATTACTAATTAAATGATCACTTTATAAGTAATATATAAAATAACATAGAACCTCAACCCAATTAAAAACTTTCTAAGAACTCCATGAATTCAAAGGTCAAGGACATTGTGAACTGTGTATTTCATTGCCAGGCAACACTCTGGACCTTGAAGATGGTCTTGAAGATGGTGGTGATACTTTAGCCAGTAAACAAATCATAACTCCATTCTTTATCAGGATTATATTTGAGTTATGGGAGTTTTGAATTGTGAGAGATATTCAATAATGCATCCCTCATACAAAATACACCTATCCTTTAATTTTGTATATTTGGAATATGAGGGACATTGGAGTTCAAGGAAAGGCTGGGTGATAAAACATAATTGTTTTGAGGAGGAGAATGACATGGGCAGAGCTATTTCTGTGAGATTTAACTAGCTCCTCAATGAAGGACAGATTGAAGGAGGAATAAGATTGGGTTCAAAGAGGCCAAAAAGGAAGCAAAAGGAAAAATCTTGAGGCAACATTTATGAGACAATTGGGGAAATCTGAATATTGACTGGATATTGGATGATATTAAAGAATTATTGTTAATTTTTAAAAGTTTGATAATGATATTATAGTTACAACTTTCAAAACATTATATGAGAGATAATAAGGGCCTGAACTCAGAGAAGGATGAGGGGTAAGGACAGGCAGTGTCCTCTTGTTCTGACTTTGTTTCAAAAACCCTCAGAGCATGCTTGGAGTGAGTAAAGGCACCAAGAAGCATCCATGCTTTATCTACAGAATTTAGCCAGACTGCCATCTCTTTTCCCCCTTTGCTATGCTATGGCACTCTTGGTTTCTTTATTTACAAGCCCTGGCCCCACCTCAGGTCTTGTTTGTGGTCCAAATATTGCTTCAAGCTGCTCCTCTGACACATGACTTCTGTGATTTGTCCCACTGTTTCACATATTTCTAATGTAATCCAACCCTCATGGATTCACTCCATCCAGGTAAAGGGGGCAGTAGAATCCTGTTGGTGGGGGTGGGGGAGGATAGGGAGAGGAGGTTGTCAAGAACAGCTCTGCTAAACTTAAAAATTCCTTGTCCTCTGAATCTCCCAAATCAACTTAAGCTCCTATTTTTCCTACATTTCCCACTTGTCTCTTCATCTGACTAGCTCCCTTCCCAGATTAAAGAGGTAGAATCCCAGGAGTCTCTCTCTAAGGAAGAGTGGGAAGATGTGTCTTTCTATATTCTCTCTATCATGGCTGTCAATAACATTGAGAAATAGAGTTACAACAGAAAGCATAAGAAGACTTTGATTGTAATATCATTTTCTATAAGAATGTAGATTGTGGGTACAGATGTGGAAATAAACACTAAGTCTACCAATATACATTAAGGAAGGACCTAGGTAAATTTTTAGGGACTTTCAGGACTCTATGCTTTAGACTCAGAAACCTAAGGAAACTGAAGCTCTGAATACTAAATATAAACTTTGGCAACCTTACTGTCTTTTGCTAAGCAGAGGCCATCTCCAAGACCCTGAGTGTTGCCTAGAATAATACTGTTAGTTCAAGGCCTTGTGCTTAGCTGGTACTCGATCTACAGTTGTTCATTTTACTGAAGAATTTATTATTCAGGAAAATCCAAAATGGAAACTTACTAATGAAAGTACAGAAACTGAAGAACATATAGACTATTCTTATTACCTTGAGGAGATAAGATGTTACAGGGCCCTGCTTCAGCAAGCCAACATGAGGTGTCCCATAGACTAGGCCTGCCTTGTGGTCTACCAATTCTTAACAAAAACCCTGTCCACGATAGGGTTTCAATGATACTCCTCTTATGCTATCATCACAAGACTTTGAAAGAAATGTTAGAAGCCCAGTTTGGGTTTTATTGTTTTAATAACTTCCCCAAAGCATATCATCGCACCTTCCCTTCTGTATATATTATGTTAAAGAGTACCTGTTATGCCTAAGTGAATCCAGACTGTAGCAAAGATTTTCTGGCTTATGAATGATGTATTCTGCAAGTAAGCTTCCTCAAGAAACAGACTATGCTCAAAAGCCGCTCTCAAGGTTGACCTCACTGTTTCTTGCTTTGTGGCCTGAAGACATAATAGGACAAACATTCCATATCTACACATTACTATGGCAAATAACTTTTTCTGTGCACTGAGAATTCTCTTTTCAATATGGTCAAAAAAATTTTAATGAGAATTCTTATATATAGTCTGATTTCTTCTATATTATTAACATAACTTCCCCTATCGTTAAAAAAAAGCAACATATGATCTCCCTTACCTTCTCCTTGTACATAGCATACTATACTTAAAGTTATGAAGAAAACATAAAGTAAGGAGTGAGTGAGTTTTTAGCCCTAGAGTTTTGTTGATTTTTAAGAATTTTCACCAAGATGACTCAAGATGGCTCCCCATTCTAGTCTTCATTCAATATAATTATCACAGCTTTAGACGCTCATCTGAGGATTGATTTAAAGCTGTGCCATTGAATTTTTCTTTTTAAGTCACCTCCTTTCATCTTCAGCATTGTGTGATGACTTAGGTTTTTAAGTGTTCTGTAGTCAGTCACTATCACTTTTCAAAGGGAGAAAATAGCTACTTTATCTATTTGCTATTTTAAAACTTTTGGCTGCAGTTTTCTAACATTTCTGAGTCTACGAAGAAGTTTGGGTATGAAAAAAAAATACAGAAACTTGGGTGGTTTGGAGAGAAGTTTAATTTCCATAGCCTTTCTCCCCAAATGTTCAGAATCCTAATCAGATTTGAAGCCAATCTGAGTTGACAAAAAGGAGTTATTTATTAATATATAACCAAAGATGATCAATAAAGGGAGGTAGGACCCTCAATTCTAAAAGGAAACCCAGAGAAAAGGTGGTTAATTTCACAAATATTTAATCCCTTGAGAATTTGATAAAGATAGGTAGAAAGGCCTGGGAGCATCAGGGGAATCAACTGTTTAAAACAGCTCTAATTTAGAGCTTGAAAGTAGGAAGGCAAGACTAGAAAGAAAAGGAAAGTAAAAAATACTCCAGACAGCACAGTAGGGGGAAAGGAGAGTAAGGAGCATTGTCATGGTAATAAGATAAAGCCTAGACTCCTCCCAACCAGAAAGAAGAAAACTTCTTTTGTACACAGGTCCCTTCTAGCTTCACTCTGGGCTTAGACTAATAATTTTCATGCCTCAGTATACATGCATGCACATACACACATATACCTGCACATTCACTGTTTAAGTCAAAAAGTTAGTTTAACCTTCTGAAACTCCAATCCTTCTCCAATAAAGACATCAGGTATTAGAGAAAGGAGAGGTAGATGGAGTTGGATATTATTAGAAAGCTAGACCTAGTCTAAATCTAGAGGGAATTCAAATCTTACATCACCACCATCTCAATAATGCCCGAAAATGGAACACTATAAGACAAAATAATTTATCAGTTTGTATATACTAATGAACTAGACAATCCTAAGAGCCTGGGAGAAAGTGTCAAGCATAGTAGCAGCCACATCCAGGCAAAATAAGGTCAGAAATATGCATATATATGTTTGTACAAATGTATGTATATGTGTGCACATATTCATTCATTAGGTATTTGATTAGTACTAGCATGAAAATATGGAAATATTACCTAGCATTTCATTCTATGGAAAATATGAAAAATAATAAAATGAAACAGTTTTTCTCCCTCAAAGCATCTAAGATGGTTTTTGGGTAGTGCATGGATATGTTATTTTATTTAAATAATTAAATATTTATTTATTATATATTAGGAAAAAATATATATATAAGACATTGGAGTGGGCTGAATGGTGTTCCCCAAAAAGATATGTTGACATCCTGATAATTCTAAGAACCCATGAATGTTACCTTATTTGGAATGAGTCTTTGCAGACATAATTAAGCTAAGGATCTTGAGGAGATTATCCTGGATTATTTAGGTGGGCCCAAAATTCAATGGTAAGTGTCCTTATAAGAGGCACACAGACGAGAGACACAGAGGAGAAATCAATGTGAAGATGTAGTCAGAGTGCTGAGGCAACAAGCCAAGAAATACCTACATCAACCAGAAGGGGGAACAGGCAAGGAACAGATTTTCCCCTAGAGCCTTAAAAGAGATTGTGGCACTGACGATAACTTGGTTTTGGACTTCTCGCCTTTAGGATTGTGAAAGAATAAATTTCTGTTGTTTAAAGCCACCCAATTTGTGCTAATTTGTTGTGGCAGCCCTAGGAAACTAATACTCCATATCAAACCCAGAATTCTCCAGATTACTTAGGACAAAACTAATACAGGTATTTATTTACTTATTTTTAAATGAGCTAATTTTTAAAA